GCCCGATAATAGGTGGTCTGCATATCGATCTGCTGGAGGACTGGTATGTACTGCTCGATACAGGTGGTACAATTTGAAATTTAAATCCTTGGATACTATAATATATTTTCTCGTACTCAAATCAAATTATAATTACGGTATAATTTAAAATTTAAATCCTTGGATACTAAAATCAAATTATAGGTGCAGATATCTTTAAAATAGTTAAAGTAGATTCAGAGAATAAAAATTGTTCACGTCATTGTCTTGAGAAATCAAAATTTCCATGCTCTTATGAAATGACCGCTATTAGGTATAGAAATGTTAATCATATTATACAAGTGATACCAATAAGAAGACATATAATTATAAAATATTTCTTATGAGAAATAAACAATATTAGATGCGATGAGAAGATCATTACATTAGTCCACAGATCATTATAGTAGGTCAGCTTTAAATGCTGCATAATTTGTAATAATCTCACCAGTAAAAAATAAAGCTTTTTAAGAAGCTACCAAATGGAGTTACACCACAAAGGCATCTTTGGCATCAGTATCAAGTTTATCTAAAATCCTTGCATGTCAGATTATATATATATACCACATGATTTCTCCTTCGTAAATTCGAACCCAAGTGCAGATTTTATGCATCTCATTCTACTCTGAGAAAAAAACTATATGGCTGCAACAGAGAAATAAAAAAAAGATAATTAGATATGGATGACAAGGAACTACTTGTGAGCTTTGGTAGAAGAGAAGCACAGAGATTTGAGACAATTCATAGTGACCAAAAATTTGGTAGCCATATCTGTTGTGTAGGACCCGCACACTAATTTTGCTGTCTTCTATAACATATTAAATGACTATGAATAATGGATCAGCATCAGTTTTACAATTCTGATTTACCAATAACTATCCCAAAAAAATGAGCTCCAAATAAAATCGTAGTTCACTAGTGACAATTTTGTCTCAGCATCTCATCCCTAAAATAGCATGAATTTTTTTAGTTCTTATAGAATGCAAAATCTTGCGTAACAACAAATGAACACCAAAAGAACTCAAAAGCTCACTAATAATAATTTCAGTGGTCATCCAATTGCTTTATGCTTCCAAATACGACATGTTCTTCTATAGATCCAAAATTTCCTACTTCCTTTTTCATCACCGGAAGTTTGTCATAGCTCATGATTGTAGTTGAAGTCATAAGGTCAGTACCAGAAGGCAGCCTTCAGGTAAAAGAATTGCAGCATGGCACAGAATGTATGTGTTGGCTGGTTCATCAAGGACAACATTTTGTAGACAGAGCATCATCCCTGATTACAGCACATGTGGATTTGATTCGGGTGGGAATAAATTGGTTAGGAATCTGTGAATCATCTCGAAGCTGGTAAATGTAATTACAGCAGCTGGAGTTGTTCGAAGCAAATTTGTTGCACAACCATGGTAAAATCCAGAAATACCATCTTTCCGAAAGACTTTTTTTATGCAGTCAATGACACCTTTATACTGCATCTCAGCATGAAAACCTTGTTCTTGAAGCTTTGACCGTACCACCTATCATAAGAAGATAATTATGGAAAATGGAGACAAACTTAATGCTGTCTATGGTAAATTTGTTTGGCATGGTGAATGACTTTAATATCCTTGGCTAGAGGAAGTTACCTCATGAGGGTAGGTCAATGTCGATGCAACTATCTTTGAGATAGATGAAGCAACAGCTACATCACGAGCAGTAAGCGAATCAACTGTAGTATTATCTAACATAAGAGCATATATTAATGCAAAGAAGAAATTAATAGATTTATAATAACTTAACTATATAGTTTCAGATTAATGATAGATAATACCTCGTTCAGCCAGGCAACATTTAATCTTCTCATATGCAGGGAACTGTATGGCAACATGGCTTATCCCTGCCAAAGCAGGCACTAGACCACTGTGCAAGACATAATATCAGCACATTCAATTAATATGATATTCAAGTTGAATTTACAATAATGTCATATTACAGTTCTTCAAAAAGGCCTCACCTGTAAAGCCCTCGGATACCTTCTTCATGGGCTATTCTCCTCAATGAATTTAGTGTGCCCTGATAAGGAACCATGCCCACCCTAAGTTCTTGAGCCTGCACATAGTGCATTAAATGGTTAAGGTTATAACAACTCAATAATTCAGACAACAAGTAACTTTTACTCTCCATGCATGCCTTAAAGAACTAAAGATCCATGGATCATGAAATCAAAAATATAATCACACTGGTTTAATTGCTGCCAATTGGTGTCCTTCATGTTTTTTCTTACATGTGAGTGCAACCCAGTAAACCTTGAGCTTGTAAAAGAATGACCATTATGCATTAGCTGTTAAAGGATCATGCATACTGACCACATGAATTTAGATGATTTGTTTACAGGGAAAAAAGGTGCCAACTTTTTAAAATGGTAACTCTAGTAATTATTTTTCTAACATCCTGATTATACTTCAATGTACCTCATAAAATTGTGAATTTGCTAAGACTGAAATTGTGGATTGGGAAATAATACTAGATAAGTTCAATAAATGGCTTTCTAGAATAACTCAGTTGGAGGAGTTTATTTTGGCGTCCTAAAAGTCTGTCATTATATGATAATTGTGATGATCAGTGAAGAATATACACGTCAGGAAATTAGATGAGATACTAGAATATGATCCAATGACCTCTAAGATTTCACAGTAATGATACATTCACAAAAATCCTAGCAGTGTCTTAGCATTTAACTCTATGAAATAACAATATCAGGTAAAATTTTATTTAACAAAATCAAGAAAATCGAAGTCCATGTAAAATTGTGCATAAAAAAAAAGAGAAGATAAATGCAGGTAAGCTTCACCTAGAACCTAAAATCATCATTTAAAAAGTGTATTTGAGTCTAAGGCTGATTAAAGACATTCAATATCTTCTAAGATGAAGGCAGAATAGGATATTAGGAATGCTATAAGTGAGCAATGAGAATCTCCAGAAGCTGGAAAAGCGAAATAGGAAAAATTAATGGTTTTTGGCCTACACAGAAAACATTCTTGCTTCTATAGCACTTCATTTTGCACAATAATTAATGGGAAAAAGAAGTTTCAAGCTGAAACAACTTATGTATGGACATAGCACAGTTATCAAGTAAAGATCAGAAACTTTAATTTCAAATTTCTGATGAGACAAATGCATGAACGTCAAACTTTAAGTTTGCTCTACATGCATGGATGTGAATAGCCTCCATTCAGGAAACATCCTTGGCAATATGCAAGACTATGACAAGACTCTGCAGAATTGAGTATAAAAATTGCCCTGTTAACAAACACAATATCCACAATGATAAAAGTTCTCAATGGAGCTGTCCAAGTAGAAGAAAAACCCTGATCAATTCTTTGAAAATGACAGAATGTGGCAGAACTAGAACTAAAATTTGTGCATCTTTTATCCACTATCTGATAACAAAAGAACTTTAAGAAAAAGAAATAGAACAAAAAGAGATCCAAAGTGCATCCTGAATCCATTATACAAGTAATTCATCATGTGAAAAAAAAGAATCCATCGTCTATAATATAATTCAAAATTTGCTTCAGAATGAATGGTAATTGCTACCAAACAAGGTGCTCAGTATTAACATATTCTCCTATTAAAATATATTGCTGGACATATCTGACATACTTGGAATCTTGTCTTGACAACCCAGAGTGGATTTGTCACAATAGTAGTAGCAACTCCAGCACCGGATGCAGCAAACATATTGGCACCTATAGATAGTTGATGGTTTCCATCTATCCAAGTATTGAATTTCATAAAGTACAATAAGAGAGCAAAATGAAACTAGTCAGTGAAAGGACACAAACTTCATATGAATATGTCATATACATATACTAACCATTTGAAGAAAGTAAGCTTTTTGATTGTTCATAGACTGTAAAGTAAACCTGGAAAGGTAGAAAATCACAAATTAGAAGGGAAATGTTAAAAATAAATTTAAAAAAATTGGGCAATCCAACGCACAAGGCTCCTGCCAATGCAAGTTCCTGGGTGAGTCAATGTTCAAGTCATTGATCTTGTAATGTTCAAGTCAGTTCCGGAAGGGAAGCATTCAGAAAAAAAAAAAGAATGTTCAAGACATAACCATGGTTCCTGAATTGGAAGTGACCAACAAATCATTCTCGGTTTGTATCTCTATCCCAACAATAATTTTGCAAATATTCAATCCTGAATTTTTTAAATTTTAACTCAGAATATCCACCTAACAATCATATTTCTGCAAAAGAATGTTAACCAACTAAACACAATACACCATACAAATCTCTTGCAGTTAATTTACATAAGTGACCAACTAATTACAAAAATATTCTGTCCACCAAGAAACTTAGATAAAAGACCATGACAGAACCTACCTGATGTAGCTTCTATAAATAGATCAAACATAAATTTTCATCTTGCTGAATAAGACAATGACTTACAGCCCAGTTAGGGAGCAACGCCAAAACAGTTGGTGACAATCCTCGATACATGCCAAGAACACCTTCCCTTTTGACTATTTGCTCAAGACTTCTAATTATGATGCTACCTAATAAAAAAATAAATACAAGAATTATTTCTGGAGAATAATGAATCAATTAGGATAAACAATTTCTGCCTCTTGGATGTATCGGCTAAATATCATGAAAACAACAAACTAACAACTGCAAGCTTTTATGAGTTTCACAATGTAGCAGCATTGACCGACACTATAATCACTAATAATTTCTCTCTTAACTTAAATCAATTACTAAAAATAATGTATTTCTTTATTATTAACTTCCATATTTATATATTATAGTTAAGGAAATGATTAAATTTGATTTCCTTAATCATGTGGATAAGTTAGGAATTTTACTAGTCAATTAAATTATTAATTGATTTATTTCCTAATAAGTGATGTGATTTTTAGAAATAAATAGTATACATTCCATTTTTATGTATAAACCATAATAAATGAATATTATATTTCTATCTTTATGTGTGAAAGCAAAATATAAATAAATTTAAAATAAAAATTAAATATTTAATTATCTTTCAGGGAGATCTTATCTTCTCCTATATAAGGGGGCTCCTCTTTTCTCATTTCTCACTAAATACAATGGGAGGATTGAGGAGAGGATTTCTCAAGGAGATGATCCTGAGAAAAGGATCGTCGAGGAGAGGTAGGATCCTTTTTTTTTTAATTAGCTTTGATTTATGTTTTGAAATCTTGATGTTGAGATTGTTATATATTTATGATGCATAATAATGTTTTAATTTTGAAATTTAATGTTTTAATTTTAAAATAATGATAATTGATTTATAATGTTAGAATGATTATTTGATTTATATTGATCTCTTAAGCTTAAGTAAATTTTAATATTTATTTAATTATTAAAATTCTTATTTTAAAATTAACATAATAGTTCTAATTTATTTAATTAGATATATCTATGTTTCAAGAATTATGTGTGAATTTCTATGATGTAATTAGTTTTAAATTTAAGATCATGAATTTAAATTTTTTAATTCATGAATTTGATTTATTCTTTAAATATTGAAATTTAATTTAATAAGAGGAGTGTAATTGGGGTCTGACTTGAGTTAGGTTGATTTGTTAGACCGGATCGACTTAGCCTATGTGGTCATGTACGACCTAGCCCATGTGGTCAAGTACGACCTAGCTCATGTGACTAGGCATGACCCAGCCCATGTGACCAAGCAGAAGCCGGCCCATGTAGCAAGATATGACCCAACCCATGTGGCCAAGCATGACCCAGTCCATGTGACCATGTACGTATCAGCCCATGTGGTAAGGTACGACCCATCTCATATGGCCAAGCATGACCCAACACATATGGCAAGGTACAACACAATCATATGGCAAGATATGAGCCAACTCATACGGCTTGGTGTTGAATCTCGGATTTTGATGATGAAACAAATTGTTAGTGTTTATGATTTGATATGCGTTTTGAGTGACGCAGGTAGCTTCGATCAGGGAGAGACAATTAAAGCGGGAAGAATCATGTTGGGCCGGAGAAAAACATGTCAGAAGATTGGACGTCGAACTGAAAGATCGGTCGATGTATCGACAAAAGGCTTCGGGCCATGAGTTCGGACATCGAGCCAAAAAGAGCGAAAATTGCACCAAGGAAATCGGAGTTGTGAAGGACAACTAGTCGATTGGGCAATAGGCCGCAAGAGAGGACGATGCACCGAAGAATCGGACGAAGCGTCAGGGACTAATGACATACCGAACAATATGATTCAAGCTCTGTAATAATTGTCTAAATCGAAGTAGATTTTATTTGTGCAGGATTAACTATGATACTGATCAAGGCATAAAGCAAAATGAAGTCCCAGAGTCAAGAACGAGATTTTGTTGGGAGTTCGAGAGTTCGTCGGAAGTCCGGACGTTCATCGAAAATTTTGCTAGAATTGACTGAGAAATTCAGGACCTTGCCGAAGAAGCTCATCGGAACTCGCCAACAAGATCGTCGTGAAGTCCAGGAGCTTGACGGGAGTCCGCTGGAACATTGCCGAGAGATCATTGGAAGTTTGCCAGAAGCTCGCCGGAAGAAACCTAGACTAACCGGACCGGATTTGCTTAGTGTATGTCTTAAATTTCGTAGTTAGCACATAATTGGGATTGGCATTGGGCCAACCCAATTAGGGGCCAGTTGGGCCTATGTATGGATTGTGCTGGGCCCAATGAAAGGCCCAAACAGTGACCCAACAGGTGGCACCGTCGTGGCACAATCTTCGAGACTGTGTCAAGCGGTGGTACCACTAGTCTGAGCAGTAGTACCGCCCAAACACAGTCTCCCAGGTGGTAGTACCGCCAGAACGGGCGGTGGTACCACCCAATGTCAGTGCTGCAGGCGGTAGTACCGCCAGGACTTGGGAAACTCGGGATGAGACCTTTTTTTGCTCCAATTTTGAAGCCAATTAAGGGCTATAAATACCCCTTACTTCTCAGCTGGTAAAGAAAGAGAAGTGATAAGAACTGATCCCATACTATAGTAAAATAGCTTGCAAAGGTTGAGAGTTCACCTTTATCATTTCTAAGTGTGAAAGTTTGTAAAATGAGAGTGAGCCACTTGTGAAAGTTCTATAAAGGGGTGATTGATCTTTGCCCTTCAAGAAAGATCAATAGTGGAAGCCGATGACCTTATTGGAGGAGGTATCGGGAGTGGATGTAGGTTGGACGACAGAACCACTATAAAATTGGCGTGTTATTCTCTGGTTTACATTTATATTGTTGCCATTTATATACTGCAAATTGCTTTACTTATTCATTACGCTTCCATACGCTTTCCAGTCAAGTATCTTTATGATATCGGTTTTCATCAAACGAAATATTTTTAAAGCCAACGTTTTTACCACTGCACTAATTCACCCTCCTTCTTAGTGCCGACTCGTTCCTAACAGTTGGTATTAGAGCCACGTTATTTCTCATTTGGTTTAACACCCAAGAGAAATGGCTCTTTTCGGCTTTCAAGAGGGCTTGTCTATCTTTTGTCCTCCCATGTTCAATGGGACGGACTACACATATTGAAAAACTCGAATAAGAGTTTTCTTACTTTTTATTTATTTAAATTTATAGAATATGGTCGAAAACATATTTCAAAGGTCTTCTCTTCCAATGAACGATTGGAATGATTTGGAGAATAAGACTTTTTCTTTAAATGCTAGAGTTATGAATGCTCTATTTTGCGCCTTAGACAAAAACGAATTCAATCGGGTTTCTATATGTGAAACGACTTTCGATATTTGGCACACTTTGAAATCACACACAAAGGCACTAGTAGAATAAAAGATTCTAAGATAAATATTTTGATACATGATTTTGAACTTTTTCGGATGAAGCCAAACGAGACTGTTGGAGACCTGTACACCTGTTTTACGGATGTTATCAATAGTCTAAAATCTCTTGGTAAAAGTTTTTCGAATCTTGAACTTGTGAATAAAGTTTTACGATCACTTTCTAAAAATTGGGATTTGAAAATAATGGCAATACAAGAATCAAAGAACTTAAACTATTTTCTGATCGAAGAACTTATCGGGTCTTTGATGACCTACGAAATGACCAATGTGGCACATGACGAATTTGAGAACAACCTTCCAAAGAACAGGAAGGATTTGATAGTTAGACCAAAAGAAGACCACTTGAGAGAAAACTCAAGTGATGGTGATAATGATGATCTTAAACTCTTAATATTAAAATTTAAAAAGTTCATAAAATAAGAATCGAAAATTAAAAATGAACTTAAAAAGAAGAGGTTGCCAAAGAAGAAGAAGAAATCACTTTGGGATGAAACGAGTACCTCCGAAGACGAAGAGTAAACCAACAAAGGCGAGGTGACGAACTACTCCTTCACGATTTTCGATGATGAGGTAACCAAAAACCCTTTACTTTATTTCGAAATTACATGATGCTTTTCATGAGTTATCTTTAAATTTAGAAATAAATAAAAATATAAATAAAAGGTGATCATGCTTTTCTTTTTTTAGCTAATTTTGAAAATGATAATGATAATTGCATGTTTCATGAAAATACAATAAAATGTAAATTTAATGATTAATCCTATGTATGTTTTTAAGAAAAAATAATGTGTATCTAAATTGATGATTTTTGAATGTGATTAAAAATGCTTCATGTTTAATGAAATCATGCTTGATGATTTAATAATACATAATGATCATGCTTAATGAGTTTATATTTCAAAATTATACATTATGATTCTCATAATTTATGGTTTATCAATTTTTACCATAATGAAAGTTGTTTTTTCGGTTTTAAAAATGATACATGTTTTGATTTGGCATAAATGAAAAAGGCATGTTTATATAAAATAATGTAACTATCATACTTGATGATTTTATATTTAATTATACATGATGATTTGAAGTAATGATGATTTTTAGGTAATTTATGGTTTATTGATCTTGATGATTTCCATGATGAGATTTGCTCTTTCGATTTTAAACGATGATATATGTTTTGATTTGACGAAAAGGACAAGGACATGCATTTATAAAATCAATCACTTAAATTAAAACAACTAAAAAGAGAAAAATATTTTTCTTGCAAATTTCTTTTTCTCTATCTTATCGATTTTTCAAAAAGAGAGATTGATGAATCTATTTGTATCATTTTTATGAATCTCTTAGACTATGAAAATGATTTTGATGATTTGAATTTAAATGAGTTTTATCCAAATCATGATCTTGATTTCTTGGAATTACTTGAGATTTTTTTTTTTTGAATCAAGATCTCTTTTTTGTACTCCTACGATTTTTTCTTAGTATTTTTTTAAAGAGAAGATTTACTATATGAATCATGTCTTTTGATAGTCACATGATCTTATCTTTCATGACATGATTTCTTCGTATTTATGGCTTTTATGCCATGTAATTATTGAAATATTTTACACCATTATGTTCTTCCCTTCTTTCTTGTTTACAATGATAAAGGGGAGAAAGGAAATCACTGACATTTCAAGAGATTGATAAATCTCTTTATTTCATTTGAATCTCTTGAAAGTGACATTGTTGATTTGA